ACAATCACAAACGCAAAGTAGTTGCCACCAAAACTTTTCGTTCTAGAAGGACCAAAGAGATCCATGTGCAAAAGTTGAAGCGGTCTAGACGTTGAAACAACGTTCTTAGACTTAAACGAGGCCCGAACTTGCTTCCCCTTTTGACACGCATCACATATGGTGTCTTTTTCAAACTTAAGTTTTGGAATGCCAATTACTAAGTCTTGTGAAACCAATTTGTTCAAAAGGTTCATGTTCATATGAGCTACCCTTCGGTGCTATAACCAAGTGTCTTCCTCTTTACTCATGAGGCACTTAGCAAAGCCGGAGGGAGATTTGTCTAAGTTAACCATATAAATGTTATCGATTCTATCACCACATAGAATGACCTTATTGTCACTAAGGCGTTCTACCGTGCATGATTTTGAATCGAAGGTCACACGGTTTCCCTTGTCACATAATTGACTTATGCTCAAGAGATTGTGTTTAAGACCTTTAACAAGCAAGGCATTATCTATAGAGGAGTTTTCAGATTTACCTACTGAACCAACGCCGATGATCTTTCCCTTGCTATTATCTCCAAACACTATGTTTCCTCCTTTAGCGGGTTTGATTTGGAGAAACTTGGATGCATCCCCGGTCATGTGCTTGGAGCATCCGCTATCAAGGTACCAAAGTACACTTGATGCCTTCAAGCACACCTATGAAACACATCAATGAGTTTTAGGTACCCAATTTACGTTGGGTCCTCGGGTGTTAGGTGTTTGATGGTAGTGTGCTTGATTTTGTGATAGGTGCCTATGCCTAGTGTAGCAAACGGGAGCAATATGGCCTATCTTATTACAATAATGGCAAACTACATTGGGGTTGTACATATGCCTAGGTTCATAATAGTTCGAAGGCTTAACCATTTTGTTCCTATTTTGTGAAAACGATGGTTTTTGGAAATTTTGAAACTGGCCTTTTCTAGGTGTCCTAACATTATTTTGTCTATTTGAAAAATTATTTTTATGCACAAAATCATTTTGATAATTTTTTCTAGGTTGTCTAGCATGCACATTTTCATTCCTAGGTTTTTGTCAAGGTTGTCTAGTGTCCCTAGGTTGACTAGATTTTCTATTATCCTGATTTTTAACTTTCTTAAGTTGAGCCTTAGGAGGTTGTCTAGGTGTTTGCTCAACGTTTTTATCCTTAGATTTATTTTTATCAAAACCTATTCCTTCCTTAGAAAAATGCATAGTGTCAAGGAGTAAATTAAGATCTTTGTGTGGTGTATTAAACTTCTTAACCGTACTCTCATGTTTTGCAACCTTTTCTTTTAAGATTTTGCAAGATTCACATTCACTTGAAGAACTTTCTGGTTTTAGAAGCGCTAACAAATTCGTCATAAAGCTCATGAAGTGCTTCTTGCATTTCTTCAAAAGTATAAGAGTCGGAAGAAATGGTACATACCTCTTGAATGACGTCAGTTTGATCTTCATGCGCCATGAGGCAAAGGTTGGCGGCTTCCTCCTCTTCTTGATCAGTTGACTCGTCGCCGGAGTCGCCACCCCATGAGATATAGGCTCGTTGCTTTTTGAAGCCAGGTTTGTCCTTGCTGCTTTTGCCTTTTGGACATCTTGGCTTGATGTGGCCTATCTCGCCACAACCATAGCACTTTGGGGGACCGTCGTGCTTTCTTCCTTTCCGTTCAAATTCCTTCTTCATGAATTTGTGGAATTTCTTGATGACGAGTCCGAACTCGTTGTCGTCATCGCTTGAAGCTTCTTCCATGGTCTCATTGGTTGCTTTCAGCGCTATTCCCTTCTTCTTTTGTTCATCCAAAGATGGGGTTAGGATAGTAGATTCATAAGTTTTGAGATTACCCCTTAACCCGTCGATGTTGACATTTGAGACTCCGATGGATTCATAGATTGCATCTGCCTTTGATCTCCATTCGGGTGTGAGACTTCGCAGGATTTTTCTCACAAGATCCTTGTTGGTGTAGGTCTTCTTGAGTGCATGAAGGTCGTTGATGATCTTTGAGAACCGATCGAACATGTCATCGATCTTTTCGCCTTCCTTCATTCTGAACATCTCGTACTCCTGCGTTAGGAAGTCAATTTTGGCTTCCCGAACTTGGTCCGTACCTTCATATGTGACCTCCAGCTTGTCCCACATTTCTTTTGCAGTGGTGCAGCAAGAGATCTTGCGATAATCATCAGGATTGACGGCACAGTACAACATGTTCATGGCCTTGGCGTAGTTCTCCACCTTTTTTATGTCCTCGGCATCAAATTCGTCCTCGGTTTTTGGGACTGTGGTTTCTCCTACTTTCTTCATTGGGATTTGCTCTCCATTTTTGATGACCAACCATAATTGGAAGTTGGTGGAACGGATATAGATTCTCATCCGTTCCTTCCAATAGGAATAGTTGGTTCCATCAAAGAGTGGTGGCCTAGACGTAGACTGACCTTCTTCAATTCCTGCATAGAGATTTCTAGAAGAAGAACCCATGATCGCTTTACTCTCAAACGGTTAAGTTTGGACGCGAGTTAATCTCCGATACCAATTGTTAGAATAAGTGACCAACGCTAAAGGGGGGGTGAATAGCATTTGATCGTAGAAATCGCAGGAATTAAACAATTAAAAGAGAAGTAAAGAGAAGAGTAAGAGGCACACCGAATTTTACCCTGGTTCACCACAACTTGTGGCTAGTCCAGCTTCCCAAGAGACTCTCTCGAGCTACACTACTATCTCGTTAAGCTTGCGGGTGCTTAACGAACCGTTACAACTTGAGAGTTTGAGTTACACGAACCACAACGAGTCCTTCAAAGGAAACAACCCTTCCTTTGAATCTACCGAGAGAAATACTTTCTCTCAAAGTGTCTAGGAACACGAATACACTCAAGAACGAGGCTCTCTTATAGAGTAGATTATGAGTAAACTAAGTACGCTCAAGAACACAGCACAAGCTTCACAAAAATGGCTCTCAAAAAAGCTATGAGTAAAGAATGAGTGATTTGCAATGAAAGAGTAGGAGTTGTGAAGTCAATTCATATGTAAAACACACCCAAACACCCCATTTTATAGTGGAAAAATAGGCTCCAACGGACCAAAACATTTAAGGGGTGATTTGCACAATTTGTGGGATTTGATTAAATTTGGATCTGCTTAAATTCACCCAGACAGCGCTGTCCTAGGCTTGGACATCGTTGTTCTAGGCTTGCGTTTTGAAAATTGGGAAGCAACGGTCATGCCAACAACGATGTCCAATACCCCTACATCGCTATTTTGGTTGTTGACTTCCAAACAAGGAAAGTTTTGGCCTTAAATTCCTTCCAACGGTTAGGTCCCTACATCGAAGTTCAATACTAGAACATCGCTGTTTAGGTTTGACTTTGAAGATGGAAGTTTGGCCTGACAGCGCTGTTTCTGGGTCAACATCGTTGTCCTGAAACTTTCTGCCAATGCACTATATTTTTTGCTTAGGTTGGACAGCGCTGTAGGAAAGCCTACATCGCTGTTCCAGAAGTTTCTGGAAATCCAACCTTGGCTCAACAGCGATGTCTAGTGTGCAACATCGCTGTTGGAAGACTTAACGCCAAACTATGGTTTTCAGCTACTCAAGCCAGACAGCGCTGTTGAGTGCACCAACATCGCTGTTGGGCTGGTTTAGCCAGACCCATGGTTGGTTTAGTCATGTCGTTAGCCGATGTCAAAAAACGTAAGTTCTCCAAAATAAAAACTAAGTATTGAAAACATTTGTTTATTGCATTTTGCTAAGAAATCAAGTAAAACAACTTAAAAACCACGTCATTTAGTTGAAAGCCACGGTTAACCAAGTTTGTGTCGTTTTGCATGGTTTTCACTAAACGACCATAAACGGAAGGTGGTTTTTGAAGCGTTTTTGTTGGAGAACTGCTTAAATATGCCCAGAAAGAAAAAACAATTATAAAAAGTTAAAAACCACTTGGTTGGTTTGGATGCCCAAAAACCAATGTCGAAAACCGAAAGCCGAACGCCGGTTTCTGAAAGCCGAACGCCGGATGACTTGGTTTTTGCTTTGGGCAAACTCCAAGTATTTTTAGCCAGGTTTAGAAACTTATGAAAAACATTTTTGAATTTGCAAAAAGGGTTTTGATGAATTGAGCCTAGAGAGCCAAGATTTGGAAGTTTGTGCCGGTCTTGATCACATTAAGACCGACTTGATGCAATTCTAATTCTTTGTTCTTGATTCTTGGTTCTTGGTTCACATGTCATCATGCCGTGTTTTTTTGCCTTGGTTTTGCTCACTTTAGCCTTGTTGTGTCACGGCGGTTTGGCATTATCAAAACCTGTCATAAAAACGAACACAGTTTAGTACGACGTAGGCGTAAACCCGTGTTCCAACAGAATTGGCTGACTAAATGGCATTCTGTTGACAACTCTTGACGAAGAATTCTTCAACTAAAGACCAATGATGGTAACCTTATAGAGGTGAAAGCAAAGTTGAGTATCAAACCGATCGAGTTCATCTCGAATGAGTACACAAATGAAGATAGATTAATGAGACTCTATATCAACTATTGTCAAATAAAATCGTTATCATTATCTCGTATCGATGACTTATTTGATCAGCTTAGAGGACCCATTGTGCTCTCTAAGATTGACTTACGGTCAGGATACTATCAAATCCCTGTCAAGAACTCGAACAAAACTAACCATCAAAAGCCGTTATCCTTTGCTACTAACTGACGACTTGTTCGGTCGAAGAACCTATGTGTTAGAAACGATGGACAGCTCAATCTTGTTGAAAGAAGTGATGCCTTGTTATGAAATGTCTAGTGACTTAATTGCTTACCATCGAGAACATCAATGTAATTTGATTGAATACATAAAATAAAGTGATATCTGTTATCAACTCGCCTATTCAATCCTAATGAAGGAATTTCTGTTATTGTAATATGAGTCAAGAAACTGCTCCCGGTCAAAGTAACCAACTGCCAAACAACGAACAAGAGAATGTTCATACCGAAGCATCTAATTTCACACCTCCTATTCAAAATGAACCAGTGAACCCACAAAATATTCTCCAAAATGATCAAAATGTTGGACGTCAACCTCATGCTATGCTACCTACCTTAATGGTAAACTTCTTGCAACAAATGACTCATGCCCCTATGTTTCAACCACCTCCACCACCACCTCGTTTGATCACTTTCAAAACCTTGAAAGATAATGGTGTTGAGGAGTTTCTAGGAGATCGAATTGCCAAATGGTGGAAACGTACTGATGAAAATCTAAACACACCCAAACCTTGGACTTGGGAATTCTTCGAATGGGCATTCAAGAAGGAATATATCCCAGCTCGATTCCATGAAGAGAAGCGTGCTGAATTTATTGAATTAAAGCAAGGAGATATGACACTCCCTGAATACCAACAAAGATTTTTCCATCTCGCTCAATTTGTACCCACACTGGTGAGCACAGCAGCTGACCGCATTGAGGAGTTTCGCAAAAGACTTCGACCTGATCTCAGGACGCACGTATCTACTATTCAAACTGTAGATTTCATTGAAGCATATGACCTAATCTCCAAAGCCGAAAAAGATCTAAGTGATTACTATGAAAGTCTGAAGACTCAGAGTGTCAATCCAAATGAACGACCAATTTCAAGTGGGAAGAGACCCCTCCAAGAAATCGATAGTGCCATACACTAAAAAAGGGAAAATCAATGACAGTTCAATCGACATCATCCACAAACAAAATGAGAATATGGAAACATCCAAAGTGTGATATTTGTAAAAGACACCATCCTGGAGATTGCTAGCTTGCACAAGGATTATGTCTAATTTGTGGTGAACCTGGACATTTCCGATGAGAATGTCCCTCTAAACCTGAATCATATTCAGTTACTTCTGTCCAAGATCAACCTGTTCGCTCAAGAAAAAGTCAGCGTTCTAAAACACGAAACAATTCAAAGAATCCAACCCCAAGGATGATACTATATGAAGATCCTACAGTATTACAAGGGCTCGATGATATGTTGAATAATGTAGAAACCTTATGTAAACAAGAAATTATCTTTCGATTTGTATCTCAAGAATATTTGTATTTTCTTGAACCTACGTATGTTGAAACCATTGTAAAATGAAATCTTTCATTTGACCCATCTTGAGAAAATGTTTGATATTTACATGATGCATTCTGATGTTGAAAATAGATATTTTTCTGACTTGCACTAGCCATGCAGCTTAGAATAATTTTTATGGTTAACTCACAATGTTCATGGACAATATTATTTCCAACATAAATTCAACTGAAATTACATAAAGTAATATTACAAATGCAACTCTAAGTCTAATCTTCCGAGATTTACAAACTCATCATAACTAGCCCTAGGACGCAGAAAAGTTTTAGCAAACGCTAGCTTGTCTATGAGCTCATCAATAAAGAAAGAAGAGATGAAAAGTTTCCTCTGACTGGAAGCCATGAATTTCTGCCTCACCGCATCATCTAGAAATTTGATTAGGTTATTAAAATAACCATCAATGTTCAAGAGACCAATGGGTTTATTGTGCAACCCTTCGGATGCCCATGAGATCAAAGTGAACAAACCTTCCATAGTATCAATTGTTAGAATAATAGACCAACGCTAGAGGGGGGTGAATAGCGTTTGATCAAGAAATCGCAGGAATAAAAATAAATAAGCGAGAAGTAAAGAGAAAAGAACGAGGCACACCGATTTTACCCTGGTTCACCACAACTTGTGGCTAGTCCAGCCTCCCGAGAGACTCTCTCGAGCTACACTACTATCTCGTTAAGCTTAACGGTGCTTAACAAACCCGTACAACTTGAGAATTCGAGTCACACGAACGTCAACGAACCTTCAAAGGAAACAACCCTCCCTTCGAACAACAAGAGAAATACCTTCTCTTGTCAAGTGTCTAAGAGCACTAAAAACACTCAAGAACAATACTCTCTTTTAGAGTGGATAATGAGTAAACTAAGAACGCTCAAGAACACAACACAAGCTTCACAAAAATGGCTCTCAAAAGCTATGAAAAATTGAAGAATGATTTGCAATGAAAGAGTAGGAGTTGTGAAGTAATGTGATGTGTAAAACAGACCCAAACACCCCATTTTATAGTAGAAAAATAGGCTCCAACGGACCAAAGTATTTAAGGGGTGATTGGCATAATTTGTGGGATTTGATTAAAATTGGATCTGCTGAAATTCACCCAGACAGCGTTGTCCTAGGCTTGGACATCGCTGTTCTAGGCTTGATTTTTAAAAATTGGGAAGCAACGGTCATGCCAACAGCGATGTCCAAAACCCCTACATCGCTGTTTTGGCTGTTGACTTCCAAACAAGGAAAGTTTTAGCCTTAAATTCCTTCCAACGGTCAGGTCTCTACATCGATGTTCTATACTAGAACATCGCTGTTTAGGTCTGCCTTTGGAGATGGAAGTTTTGCCTGACAGCGCTGTTGCTGGGTCAACATCGCTGTCCAAAAACTTTCTGCCAATGCACTATATTTTTGGCTTAGGTTGGACAGCGCTGTAGGGAAGCCTACATCGTTGTTCCAGAAGTTTCTAGAAATCCAACCTTGGCTCAACAGCGATGTCTAGTGTCCAACATTGCTGTTGGAAGACTTAACGCCAAACCATGTTTTTAGCTACCCAGTCCAGACAGCGCTGTTGATTACCTCAACATCGCTGTTGGGCTGGTTTAGCCAGACCCATGGTTGGTTTAGTCACGCC